GTCTGTCTGTATATATGTATGTATGTATGTATGTATGTATGTATGTATGTATGCATGCATGCATGTATATAGTAGTAGTTTTTAAGTATGTTGATTACATTATTCTCTTTGAAAATAGGATAATGTTTTATAATAATTCACCTGACATATGAGTTTCACTGTATTGTAGATAGTCTTTTATTAACCCATTGCTGCTGGGGATGGCATGTACGTACATGCCATGCCCACTGTGAGTCGACTTGTTCGATTGTTTTTACACATAGATGGCTACACTTGTACTAAGTATCCAATGAGCCAATTACAAGTACTGCCTGTCTCGCCCGTTCACCCTTTTCATCGATTTACGAAAATATTTAATGTTATCCTAATTTGCTGTTAAAAATAATACCATCTATATTTATAGCACTAGTAAAAATACGTTTTTTCCCGCCAATTCAAGGAAAGATGAAATCAGGACTAGCAGAGTCATCTATGGACAGAAATATTTCACAAAAATATAAAAAATGAGTACAGAATTTTCCCCATTTTTTGTTCATTTTCCCCGGCAGCAGTGGGTTAACTTTTGAAATGTGTGTAATATTGCATTGGCATTGGCATTAATCACAATAAGTATATGAATTGCACATTTATTTACTCATTTACATATGCATGCATTCATGATTATCTGTGCACCAATCACCATTGCATGGTATTGCAAGCTCCATCTTCCCTATCATGCATACACACAAACTGAAGCACACATATATAAGTATACATGCACATATGCATACACATGAATAAAAAGTGTACATATGCACATGAATATGGATATGTATTTAAATAGATATATACATATGACATGAAAACTTGTATATATACATATATAAATATATATATATATATATATATATATATATATATATATATATATATATATATATATATATATATATATATATATATATAATATATATATAATATATATAATATATATAATATATATATATATATACACATATACATAGCATACAATCATACACTCAATATATACATGCTTGTACACATGTTTGTACATATACACACTTACCTATACACATTCGGAAATACATATGCACTATCATTGAAATTCATGTATTCACATTTTATAGTTACAAACAAAGAAAAAAACATACACAGACATGCACACTTGTCAGTATATGCACATATACACTATGTAGATTTTTAAAAAATACTTCAAAGATTTATAGAAATTAGATACTGCATGAATACGAAAGACATATCACAGTAGAAACTGAAGAGGAGACATTTTTAGGCTGTATTGAAATATCTTCCTCTCACTATAGGGCAGTGTTTCTTAACCTATGGATTGTCCCAAGATATTCACTAGGTTGTTGATGTGTAATGTCTGCTGAAGAAAGTAAAACCAACAATTATTAGTTTTTGTTACTTGTCTTTGCTAAAGTCTAGATAACCAGTAAGTATTTTGAGGATATAGGAATTTAATTGGGAGGGACAGAAATTTTGGTTGCTCTGCAAGAGGGTTAAGAACCACTGCTGTAAGGTAACAAAAACTATGTAGATGTTGTTTTTGCTGGATTTAGCTTTGAATTACAATTACCAGTTTTTCTTTGTAGTTGTTTTTGGCACTAGCACATCCTTTGTTGAAATAGTGGTTATTTTTTAAATAAATTTTGATTTATATGTCTTTCATAATTGTTTGAGCATTTGATATTTTGTTTAATCATGCTTTTCTATGCAATGCCATTTTAATAGATATTGATTTGAGCTTCAATTTCAGTGTTTTATATTAGTGAGTCATATGATGACTAGCCTGTAAGATTTGTTTCTTTTCTCCCTCACTACAGGAAGATGAGAGTGGCAAGTACATTCACCTTAAGGGTGTGCCTAAAGCCCTCTTGCCAGCTCCTCAAGGGAAGCGCATTTTGGATCACTGGTGGGATGCTATCAAAACGTATGAAAAAGGATTATGTGTTCTAAATGAGTCATTTGCACTTGAGAAAATTCATGGTTTTAGGTATATGAGAAGTAGAATTTGTCATTGTTGTATTTTTTAAACTTGTTTTCTTTAATTCATTTTTTTTTGTCAATTTGCAATTGCTTTTTCATTTCATTTCAGACGCCAGCTATTTAGTGATGTATTTTTAGTCACTAATGCGGACAAATACAAACACTTTGAACGCTGGGCAACTGCTTCAGACTTTCCAGTGGAGAATATCATCAATGATGGATCCACCATTCTAGATAATGCCATAGGATCTGTTGCTGATGTCGAACTTGCCATCCGTACCAAAAACTTATGGGAAAATGATATTTTGGTTGTTGCTGGTGACATGCTGTTTCAGGTATGAATATATTATTGTTATGGTTTTATTTACTTTGCTTACTTATGGCATATTATGATGAACTGTCATCTGAAGTTCTTTTATTTTATATATATATATATATATATATATATATATATATATATATATATATATATATATATATATATATATATATATATATATATATATTTATATATATATATTTATATATATATATTTATATATATATATTTATATATATATATTTATATATATATATTTATATATATATATATATATATATATATATATATATATATATATATATATATATATATATATATTTATATATATATATATATATATATATATATATATATATATATATATATATATATATATATATATATATATATATATATATATATATATATATATATATATATATATATATATATATATATATATATATATATATATATATTTATATATATATATATATATATTTATATATATATATATATATATATATATATATATATATATATTTATATATATATATATATATATATATATATATATATATATATATATATATATATATATATATATTTTTTTTTCTATTTTTTACTTTCTTACTTTCTTTCTTTTTTCTACTTTTTTGTATGTATCTTGCCTTCACAAGACATACAAGTAAACATACAAGTAAACATTCAAACCATTTACCTTTTTAAGAATATTTATTTGTAAAAGTCTAGACACGCAGAAGCATTGTTACCTTTTTTCATACTTTTTGCATTGAATAATGAACTAAATTATTGGACTTTTCAGTTTAAAAATAATCACATTGCTTGAAGATATACAATTAAGCCTTGTGTCTGTATGCCTTCTCACACAGGATAGCAAGTTTGACATGGCACAGGTATTAGACTACTTCTACAGGACTCCTGAAGGTGATTTGGCTATATATTATGAGATGGGGTCTTTAGAGCCAACCTTTTCAAGAGGTATTGTGGAAGTATGTTCAAAGACAAACAGGTAAGAGGAGCTTGTTAGTGTAAGACTCATATTTATGATAATATTTACCTTTTCTTTTGTTTTCTTTCATGTGATATTTGTTTTTTGTCTATGTATTTTTAGCTGTGAGATATAGTTTCTCACAATAGTTTCCTCACTAAAACTTAAAGAAGGATTTAAATTATATACATTATTTATTAGAAATTTATAGGTTCAATGTTATATCTTCAGTATTCGTGAAATCAGGTGTAAGTATCCAAATGACATCAGCTCTCTGGAATTAGAATTTGTGGAGTTGGTAAAGGGGTGACTGATGAATAAAAACATAAAAAAAAAAATGGGACATTTGAAGACGTCATTACTTCTATGTCGAGGTACTCTTTTAATAGTTTGTATACTATGTATTATCATAGAGAATTTTCTTGGAATTGTGGTAAAAAAAAAAAAAAAATCTTTTTGTAAATGGAATCAACTAAATATCTTAAGTAATTGATTAATTAGTTTCTTATTCATGTAACAGAATAATACTGTGTTCTTTATGTTCTACATATAAAAGAAGATAATAGTATGAAATAGGTAATGGTTTAATACAAAATTTGTACTCCTTTCTTCTGCAGGATAACAAAGTTTCTGGAGAAACCAGCACCTCATGAGACATGCTCGAGGAATGCTAGCGTTGTATTTTACGCTTTTCGTTCGGAGACTGTTTCACGCCTTCCTGTATATCTCCAAGAGTATAGGGCTTCCACTCAACGTACCTTTGGTGCTTTCATGCAGTGGCTTATTAATGATTTAAAGGTATAATTAAGTGTTTCATGAGAGTTACAGTTTATAGTGTTATTTATTTAAGAGTATTTAAGGTTATGAACTTGATCAGCTAGAAATGGAATGCTGGAACATACCAGGGACTTAAGTGTTTGTAGGTTACATCTTGCAGATTTTTTTTTTTTCTGAGCAGAACATTGTCAAAACTAGGTAGGGTGGGAAAAGGAAGGAGGGAATAAGTAAAAGAAAAATTAGAGATAAACTGATATTTTGCAGGTACTGGTATATGGGATGAAGCTACCTACAGGTTTTCAACTCATTGGTCAAGTAGGCTTAAAGGATTATGAATCATGGAACTCGTACTTTGCTGACCAAGCCAAGAAAGAGTGTAAGGCCCCAAGATCCCACCGAGCATATGCAAGGTTAGGATAATTACCCATTTATTATTATTATTGTTCTTGAGATGTTTGGTACAATGGGAGTGCGAGCAGCTGGGGACCATTAGAGTCTCCAAGTGAAGGGGGTTTGAGTCCTGCTATGGGGTAAGATTAAGAACGTCCACTCATGGCATTAGTCTTTTTCTAGTCCATGTGAGTGTGGGAGTTCCTGATGTTGAACTAATTGTTCGTTCTAGTCCTTGTGAGTGTGGGAGTTCCTGTTGTAAAACTGACTGTTCTTCATGAGCTAGTTCTTGATAACGTTTAGGGAATATTTTGACAGTAAACATCATGTTAAGATTTTAGGATTACCCTTGCTGTAAACTATGTTGTTTCTTGATATATCCATATTTATTATTTGTTGAAATTAATTACTTTTAATCTGTTAGGATTTGTAATGTTATCCAGTCAAGATTGATTAGTTAAAATTTAACATATACATAATATAAATACATTAGAATATGTACCAATTTATAGT